TCTGAGCTGAGGTGCTGAGCTTTCACCCCGGGACCTGATGTCACGTGGAGCCCAACTGGCCATATGCTGGGCCCCAGGGATGACAGTGACAAAGACCAGGCAGGGAGGTGGGTGGAGGAAAGTGGTGGAGAGGCCTAGAAAACCACCTGGCTTACCTCACAGAGTCCTGGGATGCTGTGCTGAGGTGCTTCTGAGGCCTGGGAGCTGGGTGCGACCAACCCTGGCAAATGAGGGGGTAGCAGGCAGGTTTTCCTGGAGGCCCGGCTCGGGCTCCAGGTGATACCATGCCGGACAGAGGTGCTGAAGCAGAGGACAGACCCCAAGACCTCCAGAGATAGGGTGTGGAGAGGCAGTGACAGAGAGGCTCCTAGACCGTGGGTGCCCCCAGAGGGATAATCTCTTTTCCACTGTCCTCCTCAAGGGGTGTTGGTCTGGGCAAGAGAAGTGAGATGTGGGAGGGGACCCAAGGCTTCATGTGCCCCACCCAGGGGTGTCCCATGTGAGCTGGTGGGCTCCTGTGAGGGTCAGCCCTGGGAGGATGGTTTCCTGGCTGGGGCTGGAGGAGAACTGACTCACTGTGCTAAAAATACTGGGTGTGAAGACATTAGGTACTGGCCGGAGGCGCCCTGGTAACCCTACCCTGTAACCCCACGTACATTCATTCACCAGCCAAGGCCTGGCCCTGATTTCCCATAGACCCTGCCAGGTGCTCCGACCCCACTCTCGGTTCTGTGCCTACCCCCTGAAGGCAGGGCCACACTTGCTCTTCTGTTTAGGGTGCCTCCGCCCCGTGTCTTATTGGAGATGATCCTGTAGCACATGGCCAGTGGATCCATAGGCCAGTAGCCCGGCAGGCTGGCCAAGCAGGCTGAGGCCGGCTCACAGGAGATGACACCATGGGTTGTGACCATAGCACTGGCTAATGGCTCTGGGTCCTTTCCTGCCTGAGTCTTTATCTCAGTGTGAGGCCAGTTTCCAGGTTCCGCATTTGGAGTGCCCCTGTAAGCAGGAATCTTCAGCTGAGCCTGTGTGTCCACAGTTGTCTGCTTGGAAAGAGGCCACTCTGGCCAACTGCAGCTCAACAGGTGCATTTGGGCAGGGAGGAGGGTGTGTGTGGGTCTGGCAGAGGTCTGCAGCTGGGCGAGGTTTGGGATGGGGCCTGTGCCATAAGGGACAGTGATACCACCCTGCCAGCAGGCCACACCCAGGCTGGTGCTACTTAGCCAGTGTCAGACACGTGTGGCAGCTGCTGATGGGGAGCCATCAGGCAGGCTGCTGAGGCCACGTGGGTGGCCTGTCATACCTGACTGCCAAGGTGGCAGCCACAGGACCCCTCCCCTCGTCTGGGGCTTGCTGGTACGAGTCAGGGCATTCTCACGGTCATTCTGGATGTGGGCACTTTTGCTGCAGCAGGTCTAGGCATGGCTGTGCCCTGTAGAAGGACCAGAAGCCCTTGTTGCTGGAGACTGCTGGGGCCTGGGGCCTTGGGCCTTGGTGCTCATCTCTACAGAGACCACAGAGGGGAGGGCAGGCCAGGCCACAGCAGAGGGATGGTGTGGCCCAAGAGTTGAGGCTGTCCGGGTGAATCAGCAATGGGTAGTGTCTGAGGAAAGGCTCCTAATTAGCCAGTGGGTCAGAAAGGTTCGTCGTTTTCAAAATGTCCACCTATCTGTAGAAGCCCTGGAGTCCTGGGCAGGGGGAAGAAGGAGCCTTCACAGAGACCTTGCCTGGGGAGAAGGGGAGTTTGCAGAAGACCAAGCTGGCTGAGCGGTCTGTACCCCTGAGAACCCAAGGGGTCTTTCGCTTGCACCCGCATGCGGGGCATGGACTGTGAACCCAGTCCACCCTGTGCTGGAGGCAGGCCTTAGAGGTGGGTGGGGCAGAGGCGGACATCAGATGACCTTGGGACTTGGGCCTCTGCTGCTGGCTGGAGCAGGACTGGGCAGGGCAAAGCCTGGCCACTGCCTCTACTCACTGCCTGTCTGCGGGGCCAAAGTGTCTCCTGAGCTGGCAAGGCCTGGGATGCTGAGTGTTAGACTGGGGGTGTGGCAGGGGCCAGGACCCTAGAGTGGAGGGGTGATGTGGCTTTCCTTCCTGGACTGGCCTCAGTGCCCAGTGGCTATATAGGGCCACTGAACCTTCATAGGAGCTGGCAGCAACCCAACAGCACCCTAGTCAGCCTCAGGGTCTCCCTCTGGCCTCCCACAAGCTGTGTAGCCAGACTACTGGGGTTACACCCAGCCCTGTCTCAAGCAGTGCCCCACCATGTCTTCCCCAGCTGCAGAGTCTTGACCCTACATGAGGTCCTGCTCCATCCCACAGGCACAGTCTCCAAAAATGGAGTGGTGACTGCTGCCTTCCCTCCTAGGAGTCCCTCGGCCTTCCTTCAGGTCCTTTTGATTTTCTCTCTTAACCGTCTCCCAAGTCCATTCATGTTGCTAAAGAAACTACATTGAAGAACCACATAATGAGAGAGGGACAGGTCCTAAGTGAGCCCAGTTTGCGAGGGGAATGGTCATGCATTTCCGGGTCAGGAAATTGTACCTCCCTGGTCTTGGAGCCCCCTTGGCTGCCTCTGCCACTGTCTCCCCGACTCCAGCACCTGGGATTCGTTTGTCCTGTTTGTGACCTTCCTGTAAATGGAACCGGTTTTGGGCATGTGGCTGCTTTCCTTCAACATGTGTGTCTGAAGTTCACCTCCCAACCGCTGCTAGTGGAGTGGGGTGGGTTCCTGCTCTCTTAGGGCTGGATCACCCGGTTCACCCTGGAGGGCCCTGGGGAGGGTGCTTTGTACACACCTGGAGCAGCCAGGCCAGGGTTCTCCAGAGAAGGCCTGCGGGGCCGTGGGGGGGCTCACATGGTGAGCAGCGGCCTGGTGACCAACCCTGTGTGGTTTAGTTGTTGGGTGGCCCCCATTCCAGTGTTTTCCCTGTTTCCTATGGGGTATCTGCTCTGTTCGCCCTTCTCAAGTGGTGGGTACAAGTCCTTTGCGGGATGTGGGACTGCAAACAGGCCCGGCTGGGTGTCCCCACCTTTTCAGGCTCAGCGGTGTCTTGATGAGCAGCTGTTCTGAGCCGTACCGCGGACGATCCCCCGGTGAGCTGTATTGTGTGTTGTCTTCTCAGCGTGGCTGACCTCTCATTGCTGCCGGGGAGTCAAGTCCACCCGTCCTCAGACAGACGCCCAGACGGGACCTGCTAGTGGGCGTTTGCTGAGGGGACCTCCCCTGCCAGGTTTGCCCCCTGGGTCCTCTCACGGGGACTGCCCCCCACTCCAGCCCCCACAGGGCAGGGTCTCAGCGCAGCTGGAGGGCCCTTTCAAAGAGGTGTCCACCCACCCTCGGGGCTGCTCTCCCACGCGGCCCCCACCCCCAGCTCTCCCGGTGGGGGCCCGCCCCGCGTCCTCTGGCAGCCCCGTGTGGCCTGAGGGTGCCCCGCCTGCAGGTCCCGGAGCAGCGCCGCCGCCATGGACCCGGACCCGCAGGCGGGCGTGCAGGTGGGCATGCGCGTGGTGCGCGGCGTGGACTGGAA